GAGGGAGGGAGGGAGGGAGGGAGGGAGAGGGAGAGGGAGAGAGAGAGAGAGAGAGAGAGAGAGAGAGAGAGAGAGAGAGAGAGAGAGAGAGAGAGAGAGAGAGAGAGAAAGAGAGAGTTAAAATCTGCTATCTGCTAAAATTATGGCCTGTTAGATTTAAAAACGATGATGAATATGATAATGAACATATTTGTATTATTGAAACGATGATGAATATCGAGTATTTTCGTATTATGCAGAAAAGTAAATGCAAACTCTGTGTAATTTCATTTTTAAATAAAAGTATAAGTTAGAGACACGAACATGGAAAAAGAAAACAGTCTATTTTATTGATATGTCTTCAATCGATATTGATGTATTAATCTATTCATAAAGTGCGCTTTTCTAAACATTGAATATTAATATATGTTTTGATATCAAAACATGCAATTTTTTGTTATCACCATTTCCATTATAAACGGGATATGTCGAAAATTGTCTCCTGAGGCGAAGAAGTTTATATCTTATTGCATACGTAATATTAGAAGAAGTAAAAGAAGAAATATTATTGCAGACGTTAATGGTAATTTACATTAATATATGGCAATATATTAACATAAGTTAGAATATTAAATTTTTTATTTTATCAATAATTATAATATATTTGTACATTCCATTTTTATTTCGTTTTTTAAACATAGCAATAATGAAAACAAAATTTTCTCAAATTATTGATATGAAAATTGTAATTGTATTATTTTTGTAATTATACATGAAATTTTGCGCGTTTTTTATTCAATAAAATTGTCTGTAAAATCTCTTAATGCGAATCACACGGAAGATATGAAATTTTATTTGATATATTCTGCAGTGTTTATGGGTGTTGCATTTGATTCTCACTGCGAGAATGTTTTTCCATACACACATTCGTGATTTTATATTTGCAATTTCTTATTATTTTCGCAGTAAGATCGGATAACTGAATATTCGCATTTAAAAAAGAAATAAAATTACTATATAGATAACACTTTATGGCGAGTTAGTGACGCATACATTAAAGGACTGAGATAAACATTGCAGTATAAAATTTACACTGCTATTAAACTGTCGGACGTAATGTCAAAGCAATCCAGAGTTTATTTTTGATTTTACTTTATTTTTTGCTTATTTTCACTTATTCTTCAAAGTTTTGCCATTCATACACACGTTTTGCCTACCCGAACATTTGTATTATCCCATTTTATGTAAGGTAACATTATTATCCAATAAGCATAAACTAATAACTAAATGATCAAATAAGACTTTAGTCCTCAGTATAGATTTTTTTTGTTGATTATGTTATGTCATTATAACAAGCATTTTTATTTTGTAATAATAATCCGAAGCTAAAAGATTATTATTTTTATTTTGTTTTCATTGATTATGTTATTAAATATAAAAATCAATTTATTACATAAAATATTGACAAAAGTACATTGTTGATATTTTTTTAACTTATTTTAATTTATTTGTTTATAGATATATTTATAAACAAATGATATTTTATATATGATATTTTGTTAGAAGATAAATTGATATGAGCATCGTGCTGCAGCTATATAAATATTCTAAAAAAGACAGCATTCTTATCGATGACATTTAACCATAAATATCGTTATCTTCTGCTTCTATATTTAGCACTAATAATAAATTGAAGATATATTACTAAATGTGCGACTTGGAGAACTTGGAAAATGTTTTAGTTGGACAGCGCATAACCGTTAGATAAGATTACCAACGGTACCTTCCACGTGGAATACATTTGCATTACATTAACAATATCTATAGCATCGCTTTTACAGATGAAAGTCATTGTTGCTAAATTGCTTAGATACGAATATTCGAAAATTGCTGTTGTTAAAATTATATTTACGTGGCTAATATTTATACAATGCGATAAAAAATGACTGAATATGTTTTATGTTTGCATCTGGTTTTATTCTATCTATATGGATATACATTTGAATATGGAGATATATAGGTATGCGTATTTTATTCTATCTATATGGAGATATGTATATAGATTACATATCAACGAACATATTCTACAATTATATTATTTTTAGTTACTTACTTGTCTGGAATATGAACACACACACACACACATATGTGTAAAAACCACAGTGGTGTAAGTCAAATTTTTAAAAATATTTTCTTGTGTGCATAGATGCAATTTATATATTGTACATATTGCATCTATGCACACGAGAAAATATTTTTAAAAATTTGACTTACACTACTGTGGTTTTTACACATATGTGTGTGTGTGTGTTTTTATCCCTTCATATATATGTTCATATCCCAGACAAGTAAGAAAGTCTATACAAATATGGCTATAAATAAAAAGACCACATAAACCTCTCGCCATAATACCACAAAGGTCCTTTTTATGTAAGAGGAAAGAAAATATTAGAGAAGCAGATGTGCACGTATACTTATAAGAAATGTGCTGCATGAAATGCACGAAAATATCGAAGGTAATTCCGAAAAACGGTGCCAGCGAGTCGCTATGAAAACAGTGAGCTCTCTCTTACGATCATCTAACGATAACATCTTTCGAAGTATCTTTGTACTGCATCGACGCAAAATTATCTAGGCCACAAATAAAAAATATTTATCCTGGCTATGCTATCTATAATGATTGTTATGATTGTGAAATGTCCCGTTAATTAAAATCCGTGATTAGATTTATTCTAGATTCTATATCACAATCGGAAGATGTACAATTTAATTAGAAAATGCTTTATCAAGCTCGAAATATTCTTTTGCAACGATAACAATTAACGCAGACTTTGTTTTAATCCATGATAGATTTTCCATATTCGTATATCACGTTCTAACGTTAACAGGTTTTTCCGCTCGCGAAATCAACCCGGTCAATGCTGACTGGTCACAATTCGGATACAATAACGTCGAATTCTATGGAAGATAATAAATCTCAAGAGTACACATGATATCGCGCACGCGGTAAATCGAACATCGATCGATCGTGAACATAATCCAACAGACAATAATGCTTCCCCGCTCTTGTGAACGTATCTATATATATATCACGCGGTGATAATGAAGTCCTTATAGATCTACGATCATTGCTGCCATCAGGCGTTTTCATAGTCTCGCTTCGTACGGTTTACGCATGATGCGCTAATAATTTACCATATATTATCTATTTGCATCTGGCATTCGTCTAAATTAACAATGATTTAAAAAGTGGAAAAATCAGAAAGACACAAGTAATGTCAAGAAATTATAATGACCGCTACTTTGTGCGGCGCATGATATGTTGATATATCTATATATAATCTCGTTTTTATCACTACATAAATATTATTATTGATATTTGATTTTGCGCATTTGATCATTATTAGTTTTACTAGTCATGCTGGAACATATTGAATATGTTTTATAAAACCAACAGATATGTATCTCATAAGTTTCAAAAGAAACACTGTTAAGTCTTGCATAATTTGAGTTAAGAAAGAGTTAAAAATAACATCACGGAAACTTTTGTATTATATTAAACTTTGATATCGACTTATCTCAGCTGCTGATGAATGAAACTAGCTTCTATCAAGTGCATGCACAATATGCAATCAATCAGGAACGTATTCTAAGCTGCGAGCTAATGGTGTCGGAAACTTTGCAGCTTCAAAACAGTTGGGCACCACTGGGTTTCGCGTAACAGTGCGAAACAAACCAGCATTGGCTCAGAGAAATTCGCATTTCTCATGAGTTCGCGCGAATTCGCAAGCAAATATGTTCACGTCACGTTTTCGACGTAAACTACTTAATTATTCACCAAGAATCTACAATTTACAATGAATTACGAATTACCTGCTAATTATAGTGCATCTGATGGTAACAACACAACTTGGGCATTCAATATAGTACTTGATATCTACTATGACCAGAATAACGATGAATAACGATGATTATTCTAATTTTCTAAGTACAGCGGAAAATTGGAATACGAGATACGATAGAAATTTGGAGCACAACTTATAAACTTGAGTCTTTTCAGAAAAACGTAAAACCTTTGAAAGCATGGTGAATTTGTGTTTATATACAGCATTGAAATGCAAATATATAAACATCTTTTGTACGCGGGCATTTAATTTTACGCGATGCAACTATTCTTTTGTAAAGATAAGTCGAAGCGCAACGTACCTCGTATTTTTACCTATCTCCTCTATTATCATTTTAAAAAATTTAAACGATGGCTGATGATCCCAAGTAAATTGGACCCAAATCATCTGCGCGAGTGATCGTGCCCTTGTGCACTGAACTAGCATAATCCATTCAAAGATTATTCGCGTTTAGCAAAGAGCGTCGTATACCGGCGCATATCAGATCGGAGCATGTGTCGTGCAGGGTTCTCCGTACATTTACCTCGATTCCACCGCCATGATGCACCGCGCCCACGCCGTACTCCTAAAGATACTCCGTGTGAGATAGCGTACGGAAATGTATATGTATTATCTTCTGCACAACCGTATAACGTGAAATCCGTACGCTCTTCGATGACCGACGAAAATAGGCGCGCAGCGGTTCCACGTATTCTACGCGATCTTGCTGACGTACTGTCAAAATGGAGGTCTCGCGGCCTGATCGAACGCCTCGAAAAAGCGAAGAGCGCAGGATCGAAGCCGTACTCGCGGCACGCTTCAAACTTGAAATCCGGCGATTTACTGTAACAGCACAGAAAATAATTGGAAGAGTGAGGGAAAGAAAGAAAAATATATATTATGCATATATATTGTGTGTACGGACGTGTGTGTGAGTGAGTGAGTGAGTGAGTGAGTGAGTGAGTGAGTGGGTGAGTGAGAGAAAGAGAGAGGGAGAGAGGGAGAGAAAGATGGAAATAGAAGAGCGATAAAAGCAGGAACTTTATACTGTTATCGCTCGGTGTGCCAGCGATATTATCATCTCCCGCGCGATGAGATTTGCGAGCAGCCAACTCGAGAACGCGCGCAATACTAAAGCCTGTGTTTTTGCGCATATAACCGACCGTCTTGCTACTTCACCACTACAGAGCTATTCTGTCAAGGTAGGATGTGTACTGGCGATACTACTACCATTAAATCGCTGCAACGTTGCCAGCGTTTGTCTGGATACCGGATCACCTCGAACCTCGAACTTGAATTTCCAGTCCCGAAGAAATGCAATGTCGATGGTCAGATCACCGATTGTCCATAGGTCCATAGGTCTATAGGTCCACAGGACTGTGCACTGTGCTTGTCTGACTTCCTCGTAATCTTTATTTTATTTATATATGCCTTATTGTTATATACGCAAACAATCATTTCACACAAATGTGAACGAGAACAACGGCTATCTCATGTTTACTCAAATTATATTATTTACCATAAAGCAAGACAGAGGCGATTCTTAAACCCCTTGCACAATAGGCGATAGCGATAGCGATAGCGACAGCAACAAGGTTGCCGACAAAGCTATAGTAGCTGTCGCTATCGCTATCGCTATCGCCTATTGTGCAAGGGTCTTTATCTTCATTGAGAAGATTTTATATATATATATATATATATATATATATATATATTTTATAAGAAAATAACGTTTAAAATAACGTATATCAAATTTTAAATACCACATATTTAATTACGTTAATATCTATTGGACAGTTGTCGAATTATCGTCTACAGATATGCAAAGACTTTACAGATTATAAGCATTAATAATTTGAAAATACGCTTGTTAAATAAAATTAAACTAGTTTTTGTTGTATATCGTATTAAAAGTATATCGTATTTAAGATTAGCATTTGCACGAAAGAGGTTATTTTAAGAGGCAAATAACTGTAAGACGAATAAAAATTAATGAGTTGTATTATTGAAATAATAAATAGGTATGTAGGCACTATGGTATATACAAATAAAATCAACGATCACAGTCGTTGGATTGGCATCATTTACAAATCTACATTATCATATATTTCGAAGAGCACAACATTCTACTTATAAAATAACTCACACTCTCTGAAGTACAAAAATTGACTGTAATATCGAAGTTTAGTGCTAAAAACTTAAAAGTAATGCACACGCGAATTACACACATACACATGTCAGATACGCGTAACTTTCTGCAAAATATAATATTACTTATTGGTATGGAAAGTTCGAAACTCGTTTAAGATCTAAATACTACGTTAGAGGAACCCTTACATATGATTGCTATTTCGCAATCTAATATATCTTCATCTTTAATATAATACGAAGATATATATTATTGCACAGAATCGATTCCAATCATTGAATCTCATATGAAGTTATAAAATATTGATGTATTTCTGTGTTAGTATATTCAGACTATACTGCTTCTTTATTTAACTTCTTTAGACTTTAGAGGATCGATGGAATTTTACTTTCATTATTTCCACGATAAAGAGAAAAATTTCCTAGCATATTTACAAAATAAAAATAATATAACTTGAAAAGACATGAATTTTTCACGAACAAATATGTGAAAACAATCCGAAAAGAATTTTTTTACCATTTTGATTTATTTTTTCATATGGAAATATTGTTGAAAGATGTACTTTTATTGTTAAAATATATCTTTAAAATTGATGGATAAATAGGATTCAAGAAATTAATCCTCCTTGAGGGAGAATGGAGAATCCTACTGAATATATGTATAATTCAGGAAGAAGCGTAACAAGAATACACTTGAATGCATATTATTATTTCGACAATACAATCGAAATATCGTGTAGCAATAAAAGTGAAAAAATTTATTAACCGATAATTTGATTATTTTTCGTTATCTGTAATCAAATTACAGAACTATATATCCACGTTTTCGATTATTCTAAACGTGACTCTTTTTACCAATTGTTAGTAGTAATTACACCGATAATTATACCGATTTCTATTTCTGTTCTCTTCGCTCAGATACAGAAATCATTCATTGCGAGTGGTGATGTGAATTCTATTCAGCAAACACGTGTGTACTTGACAATTTTTCCCAGTAAATCGTGTTCATGTCTAAATGCAGCTTACGTCACGCGTGTCTCGTAGTTAACTCTAATTGGCACACGCAAGTTAGAAGTTTTCGCGAATTGCATCCCTGAATTGCCTTCATTTGAGTGATATTTTGAGCTGAATGTGAGTGTAGCTCGAGTACTGTAATCGAGGGAAACTTTGCTTACACGTAATTACGTTTCATGTATGCGCACAGGTCACAAACCCGCGTTCCATGTTCGGATAATAAAATTTGGTACTAACATATACACAGCTGTTCGCTCGCTGAGTTCATCACAGTATATCCCTATTCTCGCAAGTGTCGATCCAATGGTGATAGTGCGAATAATGCACGAAGAACTTTTATCCCGATCTTGCATCATAGTATTATAATTTAGTGTGCTTGCCAATCTCATTGGTTACATCAAGGGAAACGTTCTTTAGCGCGTTCAGTTTCTCCATATAGCTATCATTTAGGTGTTGCTTTCCTCTATCATCGACACATATTTGAGGAGTTATCTTCTCGACACTATCGGGAATAGACATCACCGAGGAAAGGGTGGCATTCGTGACGTCCGTATCATTTTTATTCCCAAGACGAGTGTTGCTGGCGTAGAGCCTCCGCTTTCCGGGAAATAATCCCGCTATCTTTCGTGCTGTAGGATGTAGCAAGTGCTCCTCGTACTTATCAGCTTCGGCATCAGCCGTAATTAAACTCACGACGATACCGACGCCGACTGTCGTTATGCTACCAATGAGAGCGTAATACATATAAGTAATCCCGTAAAGAACATTTAAAGGATTAGACGATTTATTGCTCTCATCGACAGGCAATAACGTAATGTTTTCCTGAGGTGTCGTCCAACTGGAGACGTTCGGTGTAGAATATTCTAGACTAATTGGTTTGGTATCCCATGAGGAAAACGTCTCGTTTTGGCAATTTTCCGTCGATAGAGGTAGCATCTCGACCACGGTACCCAAACTGAGATGACCGAAGGTGATCCACATCGTCGTTACGTGGCTGAAAATCATACCAGCGGCGGCACCTTTCCAATTGGCGCAAGGTACCAACATGGCGAGGAGGAATACACCGAGAAGAGGTCCAGACGTCGCCGACGTCATCAGCATAGAAGATTCTATTACGCCAGACAACATGGCTACCAAGAAGCTAATGCCGATTATTAGCAAACCGTAGATGACACCGATTATTTTGATCGTCCAAAGCTGCTGCGTGTCTTTCAGAGCAGTCATCGCAGGTATGTGACTCAGGAAATCCTCGAAAGTCACCGTTGCGAGAGAACTGAGATTCGATACCGCCAAAGTCAAGGCGCTGTTGAAAAGAGTTGCCATTACCAGACCTAGCATTCCGGGTACATTGGAGAATTTGTCTTCGACGTAGAACGGTACAATCTCGTCGATTTTGGAAATATATCCCAGACTGAGTGGATCGCAGTCGGCGTAATTAGTAAAAATCACCATTCCAACGATCCAAGATAATGAGAACAAGATCACAATTATAGGCATGTTGGCCATCATTGTCCTGAAAATAAAAACACATTTTTTGGTTACAAAAGTCGGAGACCGAAATATTAAACTATCTTATATAAGAATTTACGATAGATTGATATAACAGTCCTGAGTCCAAGATAGCAATAGTATTAAAATAGATTAAGAAGTACAAGAGTCACTTGTGTTGTTATATAAACGCATGACATAATTTTTGAAAAAATTAATGTTATATAATTGTTATTTGCTTGTCATGCTTGTTTTGCAAGTTCTTTAATAATTATATTTCTCTCTTTCAATGCATGCACAACAGGTTTTTGTGCTTGCATTATGGTCTTGTTATACGCAATGATTGCGATAAATTTGATATTTGTTAACCACAGTAATACTTGATGTAATTGACTGATAACGCAACAACGATTTGTGACAATAATTGTAATCGAGTGACGTCAAACTAAATATTTAGCAGAAATCCAATGGATTTTGTTTCAATATAATATGCGTACATATCACATCCATCGGATGTATAATATTATAAAGTGGTTAATATATATATATATATATATATATATATATATATATATATACATATATACATATATACATATATACATATATATATTTTTGCATTTGTATAGGTATACTGATTGTCAAATGCTTATTGTTTCTATAATTATTGTAAATTATTTCACATTATTTAACCTAGCAAGAGATTGAATTTACCCAAAAGAACTATTATATTTATTTTTAGTCATTAATTACCCTATTCTTATAATAAAATATGAGACTTGCAATAAGTTTTATATATTTCAGACACATATTTAAAATGAATTACTTGAAATGGTTTTAATGCAAGCATATAAGGATAATGTATGCATTTATATGCCAATATTCATCTGTATGCGAACAATATTATTTTGTAAGATTTAACTTGAATAGCATATGACAGTATCACGCACGTCGGAAGAACTTGTTACGTAAGCAAAAATAAAACGGAAAGTAACGAACAATTGATGAAAGAACAATAAGGCAAATGAACGCGAGTGCAAATGATAATTATATAATGCAATAGTCATTCTAATAATTGTTCTTTCAACTTTTTGAGATAATGGAGCCCATTTACATGACATTATAATTCGTAACGGAAAAAGATAAAAAGTAAGATAAAAAATAATTGGAGGAAAATAAGATAATAAAAGTGATTAAATTCTTAAATATAAAATAAGAATGATTCAGATAGATGTATAGCAGATACTTGTAATTTGCATTAATGAACACCCATGGCAATTAAATCAATTATAATGTATCTTGACGTTAATTAAAATGCCCATCAAGGAAGTCTGAAAGAATATCGAGTATAACCGCTTACGTAGCATAATGCGTAACATCAATATACATTAGCACGGGTAAATTCTGTAACAACATATATTTTTAGCTAGCCGACAGTGACGACGCAGTCATTCATTATAATTTTGTAATGTCGCTAGGTATCTTGTAGCAGTCTACATTGTCTACAATAACAAATGATGTTTTAAGCGGTTTTAATTCTTCATCATTCTGAATACTTAGTTTCGCTTTCTCTCGGCGAGATATTTATCCAGTTATTTTAGTAAATGCATTGTTTATAGAACAGACTTTATTCTAACATACGTCGACGACTGTTGCACCGATATTATAGACCTCTTATTGAATAGAGAGAATCTCTGTACTAAAAGTTTGGCGCGGCGCCATTCGGCTCCCTACGGGGCTTTCATTGATTATGTGGTAATAGTAACTGTGGGCACAATTTCCTAAATCGCTCCAATCGTGCCACTTCCCAAAAACTTTCTATCGCCGATACGACGACACGGGAAATTATCGATGTAAAATCTATTAATTTGTCATCACACGCTGAGAAATTTATTTTATAGTTTCCGACATATTAACTACATTTTATAGTAACGATATGAAATATAAATAATCATATTATGCGTGTACAATAGTTATATGAAAACTTTTTTTTATAAATAATTTAAACCCTCTTTATTTTAATCTATTATCGCACATAAATATGGTTATTAGAAAAAAAGTTCTAAAGCAAAGTCTTTTCAATAGAATGTAAATGACGCGCAATATTCCAAACTGATTTTAAATTAAGTTTTATAGATGCTCAAAGTTAGATATAAAATAATAAGAAGAAAATTTGAGTTAAATTTGAGTAAAATTTTATTGAATCTCTAATGATATATTTTTATTAAGGTGTCGAGAACTTCACAAGCTTGTCACTGGATTAAATATAAAATTTTATTTTTGTCACAGAAATATCCGCTTAGATTTTTCTGACAATACATTTGCGAGTAATAAAATTTTACGGACCAACGTAATGCATTTGTTCCACGTAATATTTCAATTTGAGTGCAGTGGCACCGCAGCAAATTTGTGGCCGTGAGCTTTTATACGCTTTCGATTGCCATCAGACCTCGAACTAGAAAAATGTACGGTTTTACGTTGACTACCTACTGTATATGCACCTCAATGTTTCGCTACGGTTAAAATTGTGCCAGTGTGTGAGCTACTTCAATTGTGCAAATAGCTGTATTTGTATACGTTATAAGCGGAATAAGTTTCACATAATAAAACATTAAAAATAAAGTTCACTAAAAAGAAACGTTTTCCTAAGGCTAAATGTAACACAATTTCTGTAAACGGAAATTTCTGAATTTAATTTTACGATGAAGAATGTGCTCGTATATCATGATAATGATATGACATTTTGAGAAAAGGCATGCTTTAAAATTTTTTTCTTTTTGATATGGTTTCTGTTAAAAAGATACGTTATTAAATCAATAAAACTAGTGAATTTTTAGTTAATAAGTTCATCAAAGTTTATTCGAAGTTTCAAATCGAATTATTTCATTTCTGACCAAGCGAGCAATGGAAGCCACAAAATTACATTGGAACTTTGAATAAATGTCAGGAAATATCAGACTGATATTAAAATATTACTATTTTTATTAGATTTTTGTCGTAATTAAAAAATTGATTCAAGTGTATGATAAATTATGCCCATTTGTCAATTAATTGTTAGATTTATGAACGCGGCACTGTAAAAATGTGGCACTGTAAAATGATGGGTATAATACTCTACGGCTATAATATTCTATTATAATATTTTTCAGATTTATTCTTTAGTCGTAAAACATGGATTTATAATAATTTATAATAATTTTTATTTAAAATATTATATATATTTATAATTAATATTTGTTTTATAAGATTACTTTTTTTCTACTATATTTTTACCTCTGTTTTTTCTTCTCGTATTATTTTAATTTCCAAATCGAAACTGTTTACATATAAGATAAGAGTTATTTGCATGATTTAGTATGAATAATAATTTACATTGCGCATGTTAATGAATCATTAAACAAACTCAGGTGGCAGCAGCGAAAAATTTCAACAAGTCACGAGCAAATGCGTGTACATATCAGATGTAACTGAAATACATGCCAACACCCAAAAAGAATTTCGTTTTCTAAAAGGATGAAAAATCCATTAGCGAATATATCTAAATCTTGGCCAAAAATCTCTAAAATCTATCTTATTTTAAAATAAAATTATATTAAATAATAATGTACTAAATCTATTAAATAATATGTCATTATGAATTACAAAGGGGGACACTTTACATGTAAAATATTATGAAATTCTATATTCTCGCAAAGTTTTTTTATTAAGCATAAAAAAATGCAGTTATCACTTTAGCAAAATATCAAATATTAAATTTGAATCTATAGTATAGTAACGTATGATATATTTTTTTGCCATTAAATTAATTTTAATAATAAAATTTAAGTTTTGTTATGTTATGTACATAAAAGTTTGCGTACAATTGCAAGTGCATATAATTACTAATAATAATGTTTCTGTAACAAAAAATTAGTAAAATATTTTAGAACAAAATATTTATTTTAGTGTCTTAAGAAATCTCGCGTGTTTGTTAGCAGAATTTTGTATCATAATTTCTATACGATCTATCTAACTATGACTAATACAATTTCTAAAAATGAAAAGTTTCTTATTGAATCTCTTTTTCCGTTTGATTGAAGCTATTTTATGCATTACGAATGCGCATTTGTACTCAATTTTTTCATTTATGTCTTGAATGTTTAAAGTGATAATTCGTAGAACACTTTGCATAAATCACATTATACTTTAGATCATTCGACGAGTTGTGCATAATGTGTCATACAAGTCTGTCGTTTATCGATGTACGCTAAAAGTGTGGATAGGTTTGTTCAAAGTTTCGTACCGACACAAAAAGTTTACTTACTTGACAACCTTTCTTTGGCTGGACATACTGCAATATCTCTGAACAAAATTCTGCTGACATCCGAAAATGGATAAACTCATGAAAAGCTGACCTAGTGTCGCCGACGCTGTCGTTACTCGAAGAGTCGGATCCATATCAAAACTGAAAAAAAAAGTTACTGAATGAGGGAATACTTTATCGTAAAATATGCTTGTAAAGTTTCAGAATATGAAACGTTTTTTTTATAAAGAAACACTCAATTATTTAAATTCTTTCGCAATTTGAAAAAAAAAATATGAATGTTTTATTGTCTCCCCAAAATTTCAAAGATGCAGAAAATGCACAACCCGTGAAATAATTTTGCGCCGCTGCGGAATTTAATAATTTTAAATTGTGAAATGTGTAGCGAAGAATTTTAATATAAAATCGCATTTTAACATTATTCAATTTACTGACAGTTAGTTGGAATTGTATATTTTCGTCGAGATTAATAATTCTAAAGTTCAGAGACGAAATGCGAAATTACGCAATAGGAATTCCGTACACGATTCATTTCAAGCGTAATATTGAAATCAAAATTATATGCATTCAATGTTCGCGAATTATCAGTGTGACATACTTGAAGAAATCTAGTCGTCCGCGCTCGTAAGTTACATTGAAGACACTAGCCGGTCCGCCAGCTTTGATAGTTCCCTGAATGATGATGACCGCAGATACACCAATCATTGTCAGGCCTTGTATAACGTCCGATAGAATAGCAGCTTTTAAACCTCCCTAAAAAGTAAACATATATATATATATAAATATATATTAATAAGTGTTCGTGAAATAACATAATTTTTTATTGTTATTAAGTGACTAGTAATGAAATATTTTAAATGATTTGAAATGATGAAAAATTTCAAATCAATATCAATTATTCAATTTTTTAGATATTTCAATAGTGCTAAACTATTTTTGCATAGAAAAGTAATCCGCTGTTAGAAATATACGTTTGCTGTTATAACAAATATATTCTACGTCACATTGATATCCCATTATTCCAAAGTTTAATATTAAAAGTCATACGGTTTTCATTACTTTTTATAATAACGCGGCTTGCTGTCATTATTCGCCCTTCAATGCGCCCTATTTATATGCGTGCTTGATTGCTCCAATTTCCTATGTGTAGGGACGAATATAAGTAATTTGCCGCTGGAATGTAATTTGCGCGAAAAGCTCACTTAATCAAAATTATTTCGTAATTTTACTATTCATTTAAATCCGAAATATTGAACTTTCCGAAAATATTGCTTTCACGAGAACCGTCACAAATAATTTATTTTTTCGCAGACTGAAATTGATATAATTTCAATTTTAAATAAATGGATACCAATTACAGAGTGCAATGGCATTGGCTAATATGCCACTTGATGTTGGTATGCTATAACGAAAAATATAGTTTACGTTTATTATTGCATTTTCACGAATAAATATAATAGACATTTTTATATAAATATTGCATTGCGTTATATTTTGCATATATTATGATTTCAATCTACGCTCTTTGTAAGAAATCTCAACGTTGATTATTTAACTTTAATTTTTAAACGAAATATTAAATAAGAAAAATGAGAAAGAGAATGTGTATTTAAAAATTTTGTTTGGTGAGTAAATATAGATGTTTGTGAAACATACAAGTATATAACATAATATACATGTTCTTACTATGATCGTGAAAGCCACAGAAATAGTCGTTATTCCCACAATACTAGCCCAGTATGGAAGTCCTATTACCGCTTTCAGAGCAACGCAAGGGGTGAATACCGTGACCGCCAAGTTCAGGAGACTCCGTACGACGTAAGAGAAACTCGCCAGACATCTGACTAGTTTTGACTTGAACCTGGGGAATTTACATAATTAAGAGAGCTGAAATGAAGGATCCGACGTGATGAATTATCTTCGTATTAATTGAACATGATCGTTATATATTATAATATGTAACATTCTTCACGTTTTTTTAAAGCGCTTTATTAAATATTAGTAACTACGACATGTATAGAAACAATTTCTTTTTCCAGAAATTCTATCATTTTAACTCTTCAATACACGGATACTCGGGTACTCATTTCAAATTAAATGTTGAACATTTTTATGTTTTTATGCAAATTTTATTATGGCGCCTCAGATCCTTATCTTTCGAGCAACAAAGAACAGTTTTGCATAAACATAATCTCGTTTTCACTTTTGCGTTTTCATTTTTAGCGGAAACCTTAATATTAAAATCGAATACAGCGCTATTTAATGTATCGGATATCTAGATATTCATTATTTCTTGTAAAATATTACGAAACATTGAAACAATGGAACTCAATCTTCATCTTCCATCAATAGATGTTTTTATATAAAACACAAAGAAGAATATTACATACCAATTATTGCGCAGTCAAAGAAAAAACAACCGTAAAAATTACCTCATGTCCAAATATTGGTAGACTGACGTGATACCGAGGCTGTAGTAAACGGGTACGAAGATGAAACAGACGATGGGATACGCCAAGAGCATTCCGTATAGAGTCTCCCACATGGCGCTGCCTCGATAATACAGCTCCGAAGGATAACCCAGGAAGGACCTGACGCCGAGAGTTCCACGTGCGATTGATAGCATCATCGCGCCCATCGACACGCTGCCGGTGGCGAACACGTAATTCGCCTTCGTCTCCTTTTTTTTCGTTTTGAAGTTTCCCCATAGCGGTATCACGAAGGAAATTACGATGAACCCGATGAACACCAGATAGTCCACCACCATAGATGTGATATGGGTCGTCATCCCGGATCCACGATTACTTCGGAACTCCTTCCGTGATCGAGGTTCGTCTGCGTATTGAAGATGCTAAGTTCCAAGTTCAACAATGATTCGTATTAGGAGTGTGTCACTCGATACTTTCGAAGCTCTCGATTACGAGGTGAGTGGCTCGTCGAGAGACGCTCGAGTTGTCGAGTGCCGCAACAATTGTTTCTATCGGAAGTGTCAGCTCGGCGCGCTTGGATGCTATATACCTCTAACGCGATTCTTGCCTGATCCTCGCCTGATCGCTGCCCGTTGAAATGTCGCGAAGAGATTCGTATTCACGAAGATAATAAGCGTGATAAGTTCCGGCAAGGGTAATAACGGAAACTCGCCGATAACGTACGCTTATATGCGCGTTCGCGTGTATGCATACGCGCGCGTGGATCTCGTTATGCAATTTCACGAGATACGCTAATATGACTCAATACGATCAATGCGACGCGAACGGAGCGACAGCACGTATTGACTACCAACGTGGTGAAGCACTTGACGTTATTATGCTAATAACCTCGAAGAAGAGAGAAAGAGAGATAGAGAGAGAGCAGACGTAGTGGGGATGATGTTGACGAAAGGAGGGAGCCCGGAAGAACACGGTAGCTTCTTATCTTCTACCGCTATTGTTTATCGGCGTCGCGCCGGCGCTCCTGTATAAGCTCTTTTCATTGACTTTATATCTCGTTCATTTCTTGCAAAAGAAGAAGACACCTGATCTTTTAAAGAGCATAATTGTTTATAATGTGACCTATTGTTGAATAAATTTATGCAACAGGCTGTAAAGATGCTTACGAATTTTAATAGTGTCGATGCTTACGTCACTTCTTGCAACGTTTATCCACGAAGGCATTCATTCCTAAAGAAGGAAAAGTAGACATTTGTACTTGTAGTTTTGCAGACACGCTATTACAATATTGTTCTCGGCTTATTTTGCTAAAAATGTTCTAATAAGTATGATGTTTTCGCATATGAGAGAGAGAGAAGAGAGAGAGAGAGAAAGAGAGAGAGAATATGAAGAACAATTCTATTATATATATTGGCTGCGGTCCACTTGACGCTACAAATACCTCGAAGGATTTCTTCTCCTTTCTTTCAATGGAGAAGGAAGGAGAGGAAAAACGCTTCAAAGCATTTGTAGCGTCAAATCGACCGTAGTTAATATAATACAGAGAATATTACCTATTCTATTATACCTGTATAGAGAAGGATTTGCCTAGGTATATGCGATAAATTTTTATATAAATAATTAAAGCTTTTCGACAAAGCTTGTTACTAATATAAATTAATTGGTACGTTGCGTCATATGAGATTTATTTATACGTTTTATTGCTGTTTATTCTTCATAAACAAATCAATAAAATTGATGCCCTGGATTTTTAAATGTAATTGGCAAAATAATTTCGTGATGTTGCGTCAATAAATTTCAAATTAACAGAACGTTACATATATACATACATATGTATACATATTAAAAGTAATATCTTTTATTATAATTTACATTACATTGTTTAAGAGTTAAATATTTTAAAATTACCGTTTTTTTATAAAAAAAAGAAATCCACAAATAACTTATAATTCTAATATGTAATTAAATTTATTAAAATTTCCAAAAAGAGTAAAACAATTGCAGTATATCTCAAAAAGTTTTAGGGTGATTGTTTGCAAGTCCTTTTATTTTAGTGTCTCAAACTTTTTATTACTTTGCCTCAACGCGTTTATTACGAAGGAGCCATAAAATCCCGTATAGTTTGTAAGGAACGGTTAATCCGGGAATTTCCTTGGATAAAAGGTTCTCTCCTAAAGCATCGTTTATAATAGGCACTTTCCGTGAAGTACTTAAATTCTGACATATGCTGTGATGTACACAGACAGACTGAAAAACGAAACGTAATAGTAACTGTTATTCATTTGCTACGGTATTCTTATATTATCCTATCCCTGTAATTCCCCGACTTTGATAAAGCTGTTTACAAAATGTTTAAGCGAAGATGATGCCTAAGAACTTTGTATTGCTGAATGACTAATGCTATGATTTCCTTCAAGCGTTTAACAATTATATGCAATTACAGATCTGTTAATACATTATGCTATCTAATCACATCTGAAACTTGGATTTGTTCACACTAGAACGGCCGAATACTTATTTTTACTTTAAAACAATTTTATCAGTTATGATAATTATATTGTTAATGTTAATAATTTAATTAATTAACATTAATTAAATTGGAAAGTTATCTCTCTTAAAAAAAATTGACAACTTTCTGTCATGGTAAACGGATGTGCGTTCCACAAATTCGTATAGCAATAGAAGCCACAATTAAACCTTATGGAACCGCCAACTCTCTGACATATTGAGGACGAACAATGCTTTTCTCTCGTTCACAAGCCGAGCGTTTACAAAGATTCGGAAAATTGAGACGAGAAAGCAGTGAATTGTGCTCGGTACTTCTTCGTAGTAACTTCTTCGTGAGCTTGTGGACCACTTTCCATTTTCCACCATTCAAGTTCGTTTCTTATCCCGTGCAATACTAAAGTTCGCTCAGCATGGAACAATGCTGAGTATACAATGCACATTTACGCGATATGCGTTTGGTGTGCAAAACGACAACGAGGACTCGGCCGGGTGGTATACGCGTTAACGCGAGTGGCCAATGAAGTGCCAGCCTTCGTGGAGCTAACACAACCGAGATTCCATTGTATCGCACTTGGAAACAATGGGTTCGTGAACCTCTCTCTTCTCTCTATCTTTGTCTCTCTCTATCGTTCGTCGTCCACTCCCTTTCGTTCTGGTTCTATTTTCCGTTTCGCTTTTAGCTCGTTTTCCCTCGCCGGCTTTCTCTGGGAATGTGACAGTTCCTTCCATGTTTGTCCGCGTTCCTGGCAAACTCAGCTTTTGCTATTCTTGCACGACGTCTATTTTCATTTCATGTCCGATCTCCTTTCTTCCGTCGTCTTTTCAGCTTTATAGTTTATCGTATTCATTCCATTTTTCCGTTTTCTTACAGAATCGAAAATCATTTCTGACATTCGTTATCGTCGATAAAAATGACAGGGCGCATTTAGAGTGTACAGCAAGAAATTCGTAAAATGCTCGTGTCGTGTGACGCCGATGTATGAATGCATATGAATGCACAAAAGAAAAACCGCAAGCTAGTGAGGTGCAAAAATCGCAGCTAAATTTCTCTGTAAACCGTAAGCGTCTAATGAGGTTGTTGCCAACTCGAGCGAAACAAATTCAGGGAAATGCTATCCGTTTCACGACTCCTTCGGATTATCAATTTTAGGGTATGTAATTCGGATTATATTCCGAATAATGATATCGGTCAAAGAAATGTTTAACTTTTACTATGTATTTTTTCCGATGTCTAATAATATATCTGTGACATCAACAGGAGATTTGTTCAATTTTCTATAAAAAATATATAATTCGGCCAATCTCTATTGACTATTCTCTATTACCTAATTTCTTAAATATTTCCATCTATTACTAAATTAATGTTAATTTATCTACGTGTTTACCACATAAAGTTTTATTTTTCAATAATTCTTATAAGACTTCAAAGTTTATTACCTTAAAATATATAAATCGACATTAATGCCATGAATTAGTCTTCCTTACATTGTTGACAACAAATTGAGTTTATAACAATGTATTTGACTTTATCTATATGTTAATGGTGATATGGCATAATGACGGATCTAACAATATAAGTGCGGAATAGCTTCTGGTGTCGCAATTATCTTGTGACTCAGACTGAGAACTCGTTTTGACATTGTTGACTTAAATAATGAAAAAGAAAATAAGAATGTCACGAGACTTACGTCATCACTTAATATTCCATTAATGGGACAGTCGATAAAACTTGTTAGGGCGCGTATTGGCGCCGGTAAGTCACTATTTTTTCTACACATTATTTGCGCGGATGCACCAAAATTGCGCGGATGCATTGACGTCGAATATTATTCGCGTGTACTTAATGATTTTATACTGCTCGATTATAGAACATGATTTTCTCGTTACCTTAAAGCAGAGAGTATAATAAATCATTAAATGTTATAAATCAAATCGAATGCAAAAGCACGAAATGCTTTTTAGTTATTATCAACATTTTGGTGATAAAATTTGAATTTATTCGTTTTTTCACGTACCTTGTACCATGTCGTTCACGATAATGTCATGCGAAGAAAAACAAACGATTTTAATGACTATCTCGTGTTGCCTAATAGAATGATAAACGAATGATATGGGAAATTTTTTGATGAGGAAAAGAGACGGGAGAGAAACGAAGAGAGTTTTAATAACGGAAGCACTTCCGTAATATGCGATTAATAGAAAAATACTGATAAAAATGAAGAAGAGGATACCGTTAAAAGTGAGGCAAAATTAACTTTCAAGTATGAACATGCCTACTTCAGATATGTTTATGTTCCATTTTATTAATCACCACCTTGATAAAGTCCTTTATCTGTATTAAATCTTTATTTTTATATCTATTAACTTTGAGCACCATTATTCATTATATCGGATAGGATATATCGGCTTTTCGTTAAAATCCATACCTATATACTTAAGAATTAACTGCTATAATATATGTCATATAACACTTTTATGTACGACCATGGTCGAATTTAATTAAACAACTGTGACTGTCGCGAATGATATCAAATCCTCAAAATTTTCCATTGACTCGATCACATAAGTCAGGATCAAGATAACTCTTAATTTGCACTGTTACCACAGACAAGAAGACACATTTCAAGCTAGTATATCAACAAACCAAACATTTGCTTGATTGTAAAGAAACTAAGGTAATAAATCATGACTTAATACGTTTTAGCAATTCTACGTGTGTATATTGCATAAACTAAGTTTTTGAGAAACTAGTTACAAGATACGTTTCATGTTTTCTTAACAGACACGAGTTATTGCTCTCGGCATGATCTTGCAGTCATCAGATATTTGTCGTTAATCCGTACGTTAATTCATATCAATTTGGAGTAAAGTGATGTTACAATGTCAACATTCTTATCACAAAATAGCATTCGTTTATCCATTAGATGTGCTGTTTGTCTGAATTGCTACTGCCAACATTGAAACGTAAGTCATAGCGCAGCAATCTATGAGCAAATATGTTAGGACTTCTGCGAAACCGGTTATACGGTACCGCAAGAAATACTCGGTAAACACTCGGTTGGTTTGCAAATTTCATCTACTTGTTATCACTTTACATGAAAGCTTAAGTCCAGGGATACCTATGATAAATATGCGACTTGTTGCCAGAGTTGTAGGGCTATCCTAATTTATTAAACAAACTATATTTCGCTAGCTCGGAAAGGAAAGATCTCATAGAGAGAATAAACACGAGCATATATATCAAAGATCAGTTTAACAAGGCAATTACGTTTAGTATATATTACTTACTATACGTATGTATAAGTATATATTACTATACGTATATATACTTATGTACGTATATATACGTATGTATAAGTATATATTACTTTAGTATATATTACTATACGTATGTATAAGTATATAAGGTATAACTACATACAGTAGGTGATATATGAAAGTACTAGTTACCATTTAAGTAAAAATTTTATGAAATATAAAAATTCCATTAGACTTAACAATTTTCCATATGTGATCCATTCAATATCGCAGCATATTCAATGTTGTAAATATCATAGGAGGAAAATTCAAATATATGTATAAACGCGCATAGGTATAATACTATAATAAATTTATGAAATATACTATTAAATAGTAAGACGAGTGTATGTGTAAAAAAAAAGAAAAGAGAAAAAGCAATGATTAAATTTGAAATATCTGTTATAACATTTATTGAGCAGCTATAAAACTTGTGTAAATTTGCTCATTCTAATTGCTGAAAAAATAAATATTCGGAGACTAGGATGAATGGGGTGATAATTGCTTTTGCCGATTGTACATCCAGATTACAGGGTTGTTCCGTTCCGTGAGCTGAGTACGAAGCGAATTCTTTGCAGCCGAATATCCAGTTACCGTTGCAGCGTATATTAGCTACAGCACGAAGCGTGCCAAGAATTTTTTCTCACACCGTCGGTAGCGAGTATACATCTGTAGTAGCGGCACGTTTTAACGCAATGTTCGCTAAGTTCTGCGCAACGAGCAATTTTTTATGCGTACATTACCTCCGTTCTTTCCCGCCTGAGGAAAATCCGCTTTGCTACTACTTCAGATTTTATTGATTTTATTGAGTTTATTATAACGCAGAGTACAAAACACGCTCGCACCATTAGCCTAATTCACTCGCGCTGGCTCGAGCGGATTTAAATCATGCTGCGCTTCCGCGTACATATATTCTCATTTCCGTTACCTTCAGATTTATCGCCATATTTGCGTGCATACTCTGAAACCGTCCTCAGCTGTTATTGCGGAATAATCGGAGTTTATCAGAGTTTAGAGAATCCACACACTTTCATCGTATTATTATTTATGATCGCGATTTACATTTGCTTACAATAGTCTAATGTCGATATAAAGATTTATACGATTTTATAGGATAATATAAATTTCTTTACAAAACAGTTATTATCCAGTCTATTATTATTAAATTTTCTATTTTTTTTATATTATAGATAATATTTTCCAAACAGAAATTAGAATAAAATGCAGGGCAATATTCTAAGTAAAATGCATTTTTTTAATTTGATTGAGAGAGACGAGCCAGTGCGAGAGAGATGCTCTAGTGCGAGACGTGTTAATAAAATGAACCTATTTGGCGAAATCTTCATCATTATTTAGAAGGCAACGACAAAGTGAAGGCGTTAAAAGCCGTTTACAAACATGATATGGCGCCTCATCACGTGGCTCGTGCTATCGTGCTATTCTTTCGGCTTTCTGCTACTTAAACCCATTGCATACAAACAAGCGAATCGGCACGTGCTCATCACGGCATCAAATCTCCTATCGCAAGATATAACATTTTTCTCATTTTTTCTTTTCTCTCTTTCCTTTTTTCTTTTAACTTCGTGGAATCGTGATGATATTTGTTGACCATTTATTGACAATGTCATTTATTATGTTACCGCAAAGCAATTTTTTTAATAAATATGCGTCACACAGTTCGATCTTCTGGAAATAAATGATTTGATATCCATGAAGTATCACATCATAAAGATTATCTTCTTTTTCATAAGAAAACAATATTCATCAAAAATATTATACTTATGACTAATTGCAAATTACAGCATCTGCAACATATATTTTGCAATACAGCCTTGATCTATTTAATTCACGGAAACGATATACTAATCGTTACGTGCATGACGTCACGTTCTCATGATAGAACAAAGTCTACTTTGCTATTTAATTGATTGTTGCTGCAAGTTAATAAAGAATAAGATTTAGATCACAAATCATTATTTTTGAGTTTCATGAAAAATATGTGTATGTACATACGGACAGAAATTTGATAAAAATAATTTAATTTTTTGATATTACCAGAGCAACTCTTTGTTAACTCTTTATCAGATAAAAATAAAAATTTGCTTTTTCTTGCTTTATTTAAAAGAAATCAACTTAGTATCCAAAGATTTAGAAACAAAATGATGTGCATCGATTTATCAACTACACATATCTGTGGTAGACAGATATATATGTACGATTAGATAAATCTTTTAGATAAATCATTTTCACGTGATATATTAGCAAAACGTGATTATTGATATTACCGATAAACATGTAGGTACTTACATAGGTAATTTCGTGGATGAGAAATGTAATCTGTTATCGTTCTTCGTATCATCTCATCATTTTTATCGGATACGTGTTAATACGCATTGTTTATTTGTGAAATTACACACATAAAATAAAATATCTAATTGTTTACCAATATTTAACATAGTTAAAAATCAATAGACTTATAGCTGAAAATTCGTGATATTGGCAATAATAATTGCAATATTCTCTTTTTAATTAGTGTTTTTCTTTGATACTATCGTCTAATTTATATATCTAATAAAATCTATATATTAGGCTTTGTTGCGGTTAAATTGCGGTTGACAATGTGATGATGTGCAATTTAATTAATTATGTACATTCTTCTTTATGATCTAATCTACAATACGTCAGATTGTAAATGTGTGATTTCTAAAAAGATGGAAGTTTGTAGCTTGTTCCATGAAAAGAAACAACGCGCATGTTAATAGTCGTTGAAACTACAGAAAATAATAATAGTATAGAAGTTAAAAATAACTTATGAATGATGAACGTCGCGCACATAACGATAATCATTCATTAACTATTTAAAATGACTCTCAGCTGCATTTATCACGCGGAGTATGCAAATGTCTGTCGCCGTTGCGAAAAAAAGATGCTATTTCATTATACGTAAAATTGTAAAGTGATTCGGAACGTGACTCAGTCGCATACGTAATAGAGTATGGTATGACAGGTGTGGTTTTACGATTATACTCTCACGTTGCGATTCTCCCGATAATCACGTGATTGATAACGAGTTGCGACGCCGTCTTTCCGAAACATCATTCGATTTATGACATTTAATTCTTAAATAACCAAGATATTTGATTAGAAATGTGTTGACTGAGAGATCTTTGATGTTGATTCTTTACTTTTTAAGACATATGACGCAATAATAATTTTACTAATTAACTTATATCCTAAAATAAATGAACATATTCTGCATAAATTTATTGTATAATTAAGAGTTTAATGCAACATGTCTTTAAAAAGAAAAAAGTTCAAGATTGAAGATATTAATTTTTTTTTTAGACTGGCTTTCTTCACATTTTTATGAAGAATTGTTTCGACATGTTTTTTTGCGTTAAACCTTTCAGTCGAAGGACTGAAGTAAATTACCGTTAAGTTAAACTGGTTTGAAAATGAACGATGCACTATCCTGCTCATTCTTGTTTCTCGAATTCGACTGCAAACAACGAACGCTTCGTCACGTGTGCTTCACTAATCGCGAATGGCGCCTATATGGCGTAATAATAGGTATCGAAATGACGCAATTTTCCAAACTCGATGCATTGGCACTTTTACCTCGTGAACGATCGCGGATTTCAAGTGCGCGGATATCAGCCTGTCAGCCGTACTGTGAGAAAGCTGGCCACTGCCCAGCGCTGCGCTTCTAAATATTCTTTTATGCATGTCATATCGCGTTCACATTATTGATATATCATTAGTCGATATCGTTACCTCAAGGCACTACAAATATGGTTGCATTCCGTTAATCATACTCGCGGTTATTATAGTACGAGTCATTGTAGGATAAGGCGTTGGATAAATGTCATTCTTGACTATCTAAGCAATTTTTCATGTGCTACATTTTCATGAGTTACCGCATATTTGCAAAGCTGCATATCATAAATTATCGTGACGTAATTTTTGCTTTCAATGCTAGTCGCAATATTTAAAAACTTAATATATTCAGCGAAAAATGTGTATATAATTTGCTGTATAAAATATCGCTGTTTTTCCATTTGATATTTTAAAGATTATTTTATCGATATTAATGCACAACTTTTAATAAAAATTAAATTGATAAACAGTTTTATTATAAATTGATATTTATTATATTTATAAATATTAAATTTATTGCTACATTCCATTAGATATGTAGAAATTGTTAGTGGAAAATTACGTTTCTAGAGTCAGGTGAAAACTTTCCTAGAACTCGACATAAAGCATGTATATAGTATTTGATGGTTTGTATCAGATAATAATCAAGAATATTTGATTAATTTATCCATGGAATTAGCGTGCAATTAAATGACTTAAATTGTGAAGATGCCTGTCAACGAATAATGCTCGTAATATTTGAATTAATAAACTAGCATGTTTGTAATGGCTAAACAGGAAAACGCTATCATTTAAGAAGTGAAAGACCAAACAAAACTGATAAGACGATATCTATATTAACAAATAATATCACGGAGTGTTTTTATTTATCATATTACTGTGTTATATCATATTACTTGTGTTTCTACACCTCGTTATACTTGTTTCTAATTTACGATAGATGTTAATCCTTTTTTTCTTAATTGATAGCGTGACGTTAATCACATCTTTTTTCCGATTTATTACTCATGCAAAGAGCACTAGTTATTTTTTAACATTTGTATTTCTTTATACTATTGTGCATGTGATATGGACATACAATAGGTATAATCTTACTGAAAAAAAAAAACTGAATTGCATTTGTTATTAAAGCGTTTGATTATATATATATATATATATATATATATATATATATATATATATGTATATATATATATATATTAGCTTAATTACGAATGCTCTAATATCTAAATAAATGGGATTGGTGGACTGTGCCGATGTTTCAGTAACGAGTTTGCACAGTTGGCGAAGTAAATTTAGCATTAGTAACCGGTTTGCAAACCAAGTTTCTCTGCACTTCATGGAATATAAACTTAACTTGACTAGAGAGAGTTGACTATATTAGACTACCGCCAAACTTGGTAATCCGCGATCAAATCATCGACACGATGTAGATATTGGTGTTAAATCGATTGTTGTTGCAATTCTGATTCAGATCTTGCCCGTGGCGAAAAACCAGTCAGTCCTTTAATCTTACCAAAAAGAAAAAACAAGAGAAAAGGACGATCGTTCTCAATCGTTGCATTTCAGTATGGTTCGCCCGGTTGAAATCGTTGAGAATTTCGCTCGAGGCATTTTTCCGCATTACAGTTCTTTCAGTGGTAAATCGTTTGGATTGATAAAAATGGAGCGTATGTAATGGCTGCTCTCTCTCCTCGCGCGCTATCTTTGCGAATGTAAAAGGGAATGTACAGGGCGCGTATAAAGGAAGTAGAATGAAATTGTGAGTGTGATATGTTTCTGCCAGTAACAATGATTACGTCGATATAAGAAGACAGATCCGTGATGCTATTTATAGTATTTATCATCTTATTTTGTTACGGTTCGTATTGGAATTTCAACAGTCGCAATGTGATCCTAATAACTTCTTTCTCTTGAAAACTTCGCTTTCTTTTCCTTAATTGGTATACAATTTATCTTCTAATATAGTAGAGAAAACACATTACAAAATCTAGATAGCCCATTTATGACTTTTCTCATGCGATTTGAGATTAATGCTCTCTCTAATTCGGAGTTTATTGAGGCAAAATTTAAATTTTCTAAAATTATCTTTTTTTTACGTTAAATAATCCTTCAGAATTGTGAATAGAAGATAAAATGTAGACTTAATAAAAAGAAATAAAAATTTAAGATTTTAATGTTGAATATATTTTGTGCATATTCCTGTTAAAGCAATTATTAAATCACAATTATTAAAGTTAGTAGCTTTGGATGCTCGTCACGTGTGACGTTACAACATAAATTAGCAAGTTTCTGGCGGAACACGTAAGTTCAGAGTACCCGATTTAATCTACAAAGCATCTAAATGACAATTTGCGTTACTCACGAAGTGATTATTGATCGCCGTTGTTCTGCCAAGTTATCCTATGAAAAGTTTTGTAAATATTTGAAATGATATTTAGTGAGTGTAGAATTGAAATAAAAATAGAAATCGAATGAGTAGAATTAAAGAAGTTATATTGAACAAGTTTATCGTATTACGTTACATTTATTTGCATTAAATAATTATAATGATAAATTAATATATAATATGTTTGCATTATGTGATATATTATGGTTATTAGATCATTTCTAATTAATTCGATATTAATTTTAAACTGATAAATTATGTTGGATATCGTAGTTTCAACACCATTATTCGAACTAACTCTACTCGAATGTTAGGTATAATAAATATATGTCGAGTATGGATAAAATGAAAGGCATTTAGGAAAATATTTCGTTGCAATAATCATATATTTATTATACTAATATATGATTTTACGTAATCATTTGTTATTTTTTATTTGATATATGTGATTTTACATAATTATTCGTTATTTTTTATTTTGCAGAAAATAAGTCCAACAATACGTAACTAATTAGCAAAACACATTTATTAGTAGGGGAATTTAGCTTTTGTTGCAGGAATATAATAATTAAAATAATAGAACCGGATGTTTTTACAACGCTTTATATATACATGTATTTTACATATACATGCATTTCCGCGAAGCATCGAACGTTGGTTTTTCCAAATTACGTCTTTGCAGAGATCGTTCGAGGATAAGCGAATAAATTGTCACAAAGTGTTTGTAGCCTGCGTTATGTAAATATTTCCTTGTTCATCGCCGGTAATATATCTCGGCCTATTGATTAACGTGATTGGCGCCGTAAGTTTCTCAGAACGGTGCACAATTAAGTGCGATAACCACAATTTTCTGCGGTTATTTTTATTACCGTCGCATCTCGCGCAAGTTCCCGCGCGACGATGTTACATGAGTCACACGCCGTGATTGACGTGTTCATGAAAGTCAATCGGTCGCATAGTATCAGTACCGTACGGCGAACATATTGTATATCGTTGAATAACGGAACATGAGAAGTATTGTGCCAGACTTTCAGCCAACACGAAGTGTCCTCTATATATATATTCGGCAGGACTGCCTGACGATTTACATTTCGTCCGAACGGAGAATCGATCGCCGTTTCGGTTCGCTGACGTACACGCTCCATCGGTCTGCACACTGCAGATTGATTTCATGACAAAAAAGCTAGCTGTTACAAAATGTTCAAATTCGTTGGTGAATTTTGCGCGCGGCCGTGTTGTTTGAAATATCACATAAACTGCATGACTTCCTATAGCGTATATACCTTATAGTTACTGCGACGTTTCGGAATCCACAATGGAATAAGGATGTTTATATCCTTATATATATCCTTCGTAGCGGTATCTTTTACAAATTCTCGTAGATTTATATATTGTGTTATTCTGTGTTTCGAAATTAGAGCACTCAAAACTTATAGAGAAATCTTTTCCTAACGTTAAAAAGAATATTGCTTACAAAAATAACACGGTAATTTCTAAAAAAGTATCTTATATATTAAACATCTTAAATTTAATTTCGCTTATTCTCGATTGCTGTAATTTATTTTGACCTGTGCTCCTAGTACGAAAGCGGCAAAGTAATATCTTTCATTTTTTATGAAGAAAGATAGGAATTTACAAAAGCAGACTGGAATTGTATTGACATTTGAGATATAGCATAGTAGAAGAATTCATATGTGTTTGAAAATATGTGTTTGAAAATAGAAGACCTTTCTATTTATCGCGCAAATAAAGAAAGACCTATCAATTTTGTTTGGCTCGCAACCCTACTTGTGCGTAGCCGTCGTTAATTTTAGGTAGGCAGATGTTTTGCACGCGACAGGTAGCTTGTAGCAAGTAATTTGTCCACTTGACTCCATACCGAGTTCATGTTACCTAACCATTACAACAGTTCCAAATAATGTATTTACTCGACAGATACTTGTCGAGCGTACAAATATCTGACCGTGTGCGAATGAGACAATGTATATTAACGTGGCATTTGTCATGGTCATATACTATACTATATAAGATTTGTCAAATAATTGCGACATATTTGCTACCAAGTATAAGCGTATGTTGCTCGTCGCTGGCTTCTGCATAATTACCTCAAAAATTTATTGTTTTGCCCGTTTTGCAAATTTATTACCTGCTTATCTTGATTGTCAATTCATATCATCAAGATATCCACCGTGTTTTAGCATATTTTTCACACTAATATAGCTTAAGGATAGCCTGTCAGTGGATTAATTACAAAGTTTTGGAATTAACAAAGTTTCGAACACTACTGTTTCGATCAACGAACTAGCTCGCGAACCAGCACGTTGAAAAACTCCACCCTCTCCTGCTTTTAGCCCGTACAAAGAAGTTTTGCTTTTTGCGATCTACGCGAGGGATAAGATGACAGTGTTGTGTCTTTGTTTAAGAAAAAAAATAAGTTTGCTTTAAATTTATAAATTTTTGGTGATATCTCGAATGAGAGAGAAAGAGAGAGAGGACATCATTTTTAATATAATTCAAGATTAAATTGCAAAAGTTTCAAACTACAAAATTCAAGAGAAGAGCAAACGTTATAAAACAAAAATGTTTTAATA